GAAGCTAATGCTGAAGAATTATGTTAGTTCTAGAGTCGGTATGAAAGGCAAAAATTGCTTTCTCAAAAGAGAAGATTTCACACTTTGGAAGAGTTTGAGTTGAAATGGAGTTAAAGCACATCAACCTACAGTTTACAATTAGAGTGTTAAATCAGAATTTAACAAATGAAATTCGAAAAGCCCAGTTTTATTGATAAGTACTGTTTACACTGGAATTCATTTGATTACATTCTCGATTTCGTAGAAATATGGAATGGACAGAGTTACAAGGTCATGAATGTAGTCCAACAAAATTCAATAAATGAAAACTCTTTTCTTACTCTATCCTCTATCTTGTCCCAGTTTGGCTTATCTAATTGGTATGCCCTTAATTGAGAAGTGAGTTGTTGGCCTTTCACTTCGAATTCTATTTATTTTAAGGCTTTATCTGTGGCATCCATCTTATCTTCTTCATATATTTGTTCATTGCAACATCCTCGCCATGCTAGAATCCTGGCTCCTGAAGGCCTTATAGTCATCAAGGAGGTTCTCTGCCTCATATTGAACATGGATTCAAGTAGAAAAGGCTTCATCCAGAACTTCACTGGTAATGAGCCTGGAAGTGCCAGTTGAGCAGGAGAGAAAGTTGGTCTAAAAAGGTATAAAGCTCTATTTGAGCCATAGAGTTGAGAAGATGACTTCGAGACATAATTCACAAGCCCATAGAAAATTTTTGTGGGGAATGTCATCTCGAAGGACTTTAAAGAATAAATGAGAGAAAGCAACAAGTAAGGTCTGAGCCCTAAACTGCTGACAAGGAGTTGAAGACACCGGGGCCTGGTAGAGGGTGAAGTATTGGCCCTCAGATAGAGTGAGTCTCTCAACTCATCAATCCAATTTGGATTGGAAGGCAGAGGAGAAGCAGTCGGAGGTTTCCTGATCAAATCTAGGAATTCAGGTCTGGTCATACATTCTAGCCAATCGGCGGTATAAAGTTTTTCTTTTTTAGCTAAAAGCGCAGGACTGATCCCTAAAGCTTTACCAGGACGTTGACACTTCGAACCATCCGAGATGGCAAAGTAGAAGTATACCATGATGAAAGTAGATTGTCCTCAAGACTTCATATATGGTCAATAGGAACATATGGATATACTACAGAACTGCGTTTGGAATGAGGGATTTCAAGAGGGTCAATCATTTTGGAATCGGTGATGAATGTATTCCCTCATCTGAGGTTGAGATAGGTAGGCCAAGTTCCCCAGCCAGAGGTCGTAGAAGAAAGAAAAGCAGCTGCTTCATCCCATGCGAAAAGCTTTGTTGCAGAAGAAGAGCTTCCGATATCCATGATTGCAAATGTGTTCTAAAGAATCGTAAGTAGTAGGTTCTTGGTTTGAAGGTCAATGATTTGCGAAAGCTTCCATAACCTGTATAAATGGAGGTGGGTAAAGGTGGCTAATCAATGTATGAAGATTCTTTTTAGACGAACAACATCATCAAATAACTCTTCGTATGCTTGATCAATACAAGGAAAGATTGGATACATCATCTTTTCGAATACTGAGATAGTGAGAATGTTCAAGGGTTAGAAGAGAATTTAATCCAAATGATGGATGATGGTTGCATTTCTGGAAAATGCAAAGCCGATACACGTTCTAAGACGTGGATAAAATACATTGATCCACTAATATCACCAAGTATTGGGTATATTAGTGCATGGGGTAATGTTGGCTATATATTGTTATAGCCAATTACAGTTCGACACGTACAGGATGAGGGCAATACGGAAGACAATTCAAATCTTCAATCATAATCACACACGTGGCAGTTAGTATTGGTTTTTGTAGATCTGCAGAGTACTGGATCAGCAAAGAGATGCAAGATGACAGGCTTCAACGGTTACTCATATTTAAATTTAAAATCAGAAGGAAAGCCTAATTGCAGATATGGCATCATGGAACTAACTATAAGGCAACATGATCAGTGACCATGGAGGGATGTTCGATGGTTAGAATGCAGTTCGAGGTTGTCATTGAGAAGTCTAAATAGAGAGAAGGCCCCAGAAAGAGCCTCCAGACTCAGATAAAAAAAATCCAGTTTTATCTACTTTATTTTCCTTCTAGTTTTTGCATTTCTTGTTCTTTACATTTATGTACTTCAAATTCCTGCACTGCACTGCACTTCGTTCATAGGAGTAGTTTCAAGTAGTTTGTTGCTGTAAACCTCTACGAGACTGATTTGGATCTTTGTAAGTCTTCCATTTTACTTAATGAAATGCTACAATTGTTTTTCATTTAATCATTGTTTACTTAATTCTCTTAAACAAAGCCACCAGTAAAAGTCCTTTTCATTGAGGCTGAAAGAACTAAAACACAATCGTCTGATAATTGGTTGGCAATTGATATTTTGTAAGGACTGATTGATCTTGCTGGCATGCTCAAAATTACAATAATAACCTTCGAAAGCCAAAAAGCCAACAGATTCATGCAATTTGGATCGTTGCTCTCTGTCTTTATTCTCTCTATACCTTTTATGTGTATATAGAGAGAATGAAGATTATTATTTGATGGTTTTTGTTGTGATTTGTAGGTTATGGATCTTGTGTTTTTCCATCATCCTGGAGGTATGTCCATTTGTCATTTTCTTTTCTGTTCTCTTCATATTCGTCTCTGTCACCAAAATATATACATATTATAGATAGATTTATGTATTTATTAGTTTGTTTAAAAATGGTTTGTGCTTTTATGTTTGGGGAAGCATATATACATATATACTTGGGTATTTATATCTATATATATGTACAGAAGAAGTATCCAATTTTGGATACACATTCCACATCCATTGATTCTTTACTTTTTCTTGCAAATGTATACATGATGGCAGATGACTTGAAATGAGCGAGGACCAAGAGAAGGAAGAAGAAATTTAGTTTTTGTTGAATTTTTTTGTTCTTGTTTGTTCTTGTTTGTTATTTGTTTATTCTTTTATTGTATCTGTTGATTAGTTTTGGTGTGTTTGGTTTCTGTTGATCTAGGTCAATACAAGACAACAAACAAAAAAAGATTTGAAGAAAGAAAGAAGCAAAGTTAGGGCTAGGTTTGTTTAATTTTAGTTATTTATTTTTTTGTAGTTCTTTGTAACACATGATGATTTTTTTTTGTTATTGATTGTTGATGTTGTTGTTGATAAAGAAGAAACAGATTGTTGTTGATGATGATAATGAAGAAACAGATTGTAACAGGTAAAAAAAATGGACAGATTTGTTCAAAAATTTCAACATATTAAATTCAATAGAGATTAAAAAAAAGAGAGGTGTAACAATTCAACAGATAAAGAGAGAGAAGAGATGTGTAACAATTCAATAGATAGAAAGAGAAAAAAAGGAGTGATGCAGAATAGATAGAGAGAGAAAGTTTGAAAATTTGAACAACTAGAAAAGATAGGTATAAAAATTCAACATATAGGTTAAAAATTCAATAGATAAAAAAAATTTAAACAGATAGACAAAAAATTTGAACAAGTAGACAAAAAAATTTAAACATATAGATATAAATTTACACAAATAGTAAAAAAAAGTCAAATAGGTAAAAAAGTTTAGGTAAAGTTAAAAACAAAATGTCAATCCAAAAGAATAAAAAAAAAAAAAAATTCACTAAATCTTTTCACAAAAAATAAATATGTCACCAAAAAAATATCAACCGAAACCAGTAATATTTTAGAGTATCTCTAACGGTTGAACAAATTTTTCACTAAATTTGAGTAAAAAAAAGCTAATTTTCTCATTTTGATACCAACAGTTCTAACCATTCACTGTAGCGTGCATCAAATAGAGAGGGTCGTCCGGGAGTTGACCGGTAAGAGCAAATTTGAAGTTTTTGCCTTCATTTCTGTTGTTTCAAAAAAATGATAAGGTGGTAGACCGGGGGTTCACCCCGTAGTGTAAAATTTTCACAAATTTTTGCTTTAAAGAGGTTATCCGGTGGGACATCTGGCCGGACGTCTGGTGGGTCTAACTCAACGACTACGCATAGTGAATTGGTGAAAGGGACAAGTCGTCCTCAGTTTAGTGAAACGTTTGATATTTTTTCAATTTAATATTATTTTAGTACAACCATTAAAGCATAAAAAATAATTTTTTTTGATCAAATTTAAATTTAATATTTAAGGCCAAGTTTGGGAAGATCCAAAAAAGTCAAAAAGTCAAAAAGTTACTCAAAAAGCTAAAAAGTTAACACTATTCACCGAAAGTCAACAATTACGGCTGGCACAACTCCCAATTCAAATTTTTCCCTACAAATAAATTTTTACAATTTTTTATTACACATTTTTCAATAAAAAGTCAAAAAGTTAACCCAAACATCTAGGTAGCGTTTGGTAGAGTTTTGTAAATGTGATTTGAGAGTATGAGTTATATTTGAGTTTGTGTGTTGTGGAATTATGATTTGAGTGTAGAAAATTTGTTTGGTAAAGAGTTTTGAAAATAGTTTTGGAAAAGAGGTTTGATTTGAGTGGGGAATTATTGATGTGACATTTGATATGTGAAACAAAAATTTACAACTCATAACTAAATATACAATTCAAAATTATTTTAAAGCACATAAAAAATTTAAAAATTTTCAGAAAATATTTGTCCCGATTATGTAAATCAATTGCAAAAAAAAAAAAAAAAAAAAAAAAAAAAAAAATCTGGAAATCAGCCGGACATCCGGGTGGACATCCGGGTGGTCAACCGGGTGGTCATCCGGGTGGTCTACCGGGTGGTCATCCGGTGGACAGAAAACACGCCTGTGTGCGCAGAGTTCTCTGCAGAGAGTGTAAAAAATTGATTTGAAAACGTAACCAAACATGATGCTCCAAAACACACGTAGAAAATTGATTTGGGAATACAAACAAACAGAGCCCTATATTTTCAACCTCAATTTTTTAGTTCAAAAAGACAAAAAATACACTTTTTGAGTCTTCCCAAACTTGGCCTAAATTTGGTGAACGGCCCTTATACCCTCCTATTTTGAATAATTTTATCTTGAAAAAATTTCATTCAAGTGCATGGTGCGATAGGAATTGATTATTGGAATTACTTTTCCTTCATCTCCCTTTATCTCTCCTCTGTCGTCGTCGTCGGCACAACTGATTGCCTTCTCCTTCTCTCTCCTCCACTTTCTATTCTTCCACCGCTCTCTCACTCTTTGTCGGTAAGTCTCTATCTCTCTCTCTCTGTCTTTCTCTCTCTGTCTCTCTCTCTGTCTCTCTGTATATTCACCTTGTATAGCCTAATGGGTTCGATTCGATCCTTTGTTTGGGCAGTCTAGTTAGGTTCTTCAATCGCCAAGACGAGAGACCCTATCGAGAATCGTATATTCCGAATCAACCGACCTCAGACCGGGCTTCCTGGTTATTTATGCACTGTAGGGTTTCGATCCCTGATCTGGTCTCTTGTTTTTGGATTAAATTTGCTTTATTTATAGAGTGAGAGAGAAATATATATATATATATATGTTTGGTGGAGGCGTCGTATCATTATTATCATCCAATTAAACTATTTAGGGTTTGGATTTGTATTGTCTCTCTTGAATTAATGAACAGTTTTGCATATTAGTAGAGGATTAGTGAAACTTTTATTAATTTTTATTTATTGCTATATCGCTGTTGCGCTGATATAATTGAAGCTCGATTGTCTTTGATTTTGAAACAGAAAAAGAGAAAATTGCAAGATATATTATTAAAAGAAAATTTTTAAAAAAAAAGAAAGAAGAAAAGATTAAAAGGAAAGAAAAGGAATTTATGGGTAGCCCTGGATCGAGCAACTCTGCCACTGCACAGCGACTTGGCTTGTCGGATCCAATATTTACCGGAGGGCCTACAGAGTTCGATGTGATTTTGATAAAATATTCACACAGAAACCCAAACAAAAGAAAAGAAAATTTTTAAAAAAAAAGAAAGAAGAAAAGATTAAAAGGAAAGAAAAGGAATTTATGGGTAGCCCTGGATCGAGCAACTCTGCCACTGCACAGCGACTTGGCTTGTCGGATCCAATATTTACCGGAGGGCCTACAGAGTTCGATGTGATTAAGACCCACGAGTTGGAAAAGGTTGGTTTTTGATGCTACTATTGAAAGAAATCTATTATGTCTCATTTTGTGTACATTTTTGTTGGTTGGTTATGATGGAAAATAGAAGAATTTTAATTTTTGGACACGGAATAGCAAGCCATTGCTTGTTGGAAAGTGAGTGATCTACAATTTTTAATTCTATGCTTGTTTTGATAATGAGGAAAAATTTGAGAAACTATACCAAATATATACATATGTATAAAGCTAAACTGAGAGGTGCTCTTTTGTAGCCTTTTGTACTTTGCCCCCCTTTCCTGAAGAATTATTCAAATTTTGGTCAGAAATGCCTGCACCAATTGCATTGCACATAAAATGTTTTCTTGCTTTGAACACATAGATGTGTGTTAAGAAATGCATCCAAGTGGTTAGTTTGGTGAGGCTCACATGAGTAAAGGTTTCTCTTTTGTGGTTCCATACAACTGAAATATCTATGATAAAAAACGTTTAGTACCTGGCACATTCCTGTATTCTTACACAACCAAGTTGAACATAAAAGTTTTATTTGGAGTTGCAGATCTTTGATTGTATATATTTGATTATGGTTTGTGCGTGCAATCAGTTTCTTGCAGATGTGGGACTATATGAAAGTCAGGAAGAAGCTATTAAAAGGGAGAAGTGTTGGGGAGATTAGACCAGGTTGAATTGTCTTGTCATTTGGAGTTACTATTTTTAAATTATGCTTGTGTAATTTGTTAATACAAACTTGTTGCAAATTGAACAGATAGTGAAGATATGGGTGAAGAACATTTCCTGTGCTAAAGGTTTCAATGAGCAACTAGTCCAAGAAGCTAATGCAAAGATCTTCACATTTGGTTCCTATCAGCTGGGTGTATGAGTCCCCTCTTCTCTCTCTCTCTCTCTCTATCTCTCTACTTTTTTGCTACGAATTGATTTTACTTGCTTGTCCACATTGATTTTACAAATTGACTACAACAGTATGGCAAAAGTCTTGCTATTGTCAAAAACAGCACGAAACTCAATTTTGGGCTCTCCAATGGCTACCTAAACCTTGTGTCACATTTGGCACAAGGTTTAGCTATAGTAGCTAAAGTTTCATAACCCTTTTATGGGACCCACATGTAATGTTTATATTTGGCATTTTATGAGAAAAATAGAAGAAATAGCATTTGTACCATCGGAGCAACATTGCTAAAATATATCAATAGCTAGCCATTTAGCTATTGAACCATTGGAGATACTCTAAAATGTGTACTACCTTGTTGAAGTAGGGATGGTGGCATCTCTATAAATTTTATTCAATGGGTCATTGTCAAGTCAAGTTAGCATCAATTTGAATGTTAAGTTGTATTGAACCTATCAAAATCCAATTTTGAATTATATGTGGAAAAAATTTAGATCAATTTCCACACATTCATCAAACTCATTTCTACTGTCCTAGTTTGACAAATTTTCGATTATGCCTTGAGAGCTCGTTTGGGAATTGGCTATTTTAGTTGGCTTTTTACGAAAAAAGCATGCAAAAAAAGTAGAGAATGATGTGATTGGGTGTTTTGGTTTTTTGTTTATTTTAGCCAAAAAGTTATCTTCCCAAACACCTTCACAAAGCTTATAAAAATGATTTTTGTTTATTTTATCCATATTATATTTTAACTATTGAATATCAGTTAAGCTACTTAGGTTTGTTTTGAGAACTAGCTATTTTAGTTGGGCTTTTGATTTTTTATGAAAAAACGTGCAGAAAAGTAAGAGAAGAGAGTTGATTTTTGGTATTAACTTTTTGGCTTTTTGGACTATTTTAGGTGGTTCTCAAACTTTGCCTTAATCTCAAGTTTTTATGTATCCCATTTATTTTCAAAGACAATTATTTCCATTTATTAATTTTTTGGAAAACATTTCCATTTAATTTTATCTTCTTTGAAGCCTACAAGAAATTATAATACATAGCAATTAATTCAAACATGTTTTCATGATTTCTTGTGAAAGTCATATAATAATACTCAAGTAATTAGTGTATTGTGTCTAATGATTGCATATATTTTAATGTTCAACACCGCTAACTAATGAAATTAAAATAAAAGAAATTAGTACTCAAGTACACAATGTTTGAAGTTTAATATTATACGCTTCACAGCTTAATTTTATAGCAAGTAAAAAAAAATGGATTCTTTAGTTAATACGAAATCCAAATTAAGTTAATTTACTTTAATTGACTTTTAACAAAGAAGAAAAGGAAATTAAATTGCAACTTATATAATTTCTAAGTTAAAATAGTATAAAATTTAAAATAAAATGTTACAAAAAAAAGGTGATGTTTACGTTTTATGTTTATTCACTAGTAACTAAAGAATTACAAAATAATTTAGGAATCAATTAGAGAAGTAAATAATATGTTTAATGTTTTTGTATGAAGAAAGCAGTGAGAGAATGGATACTTGTTCATAGGTTACTTTGGAATGTGTTTGATGACAAGCTTTGTGAATAAGAGGGTAAATTTTTTTGAAGTATCTCAATAGCAAAATTGAATATTTATCAAACTAGGAGGGCAAAAGTGAAGTTTTACCATCCTCAAGTAATCCACACAATGTATGCTCAGTTTCACCAATTACCTAACAATTTCACGTTAATTGAAGAAAATAATGAACTATTTCAAACAAAAATGTAAAAGCTCTATTTCCTTAAGTTTATCATCTTTTGTGAATATGGTTTGGCATATTTTTTAACAAAAGATTGGTATAAGGCTGCTACTATAATTTTATCTTAGGTCAAAATTAGTTGTCTTTGGTCTTATGGATTATGAGATTTGGTATCTAAGGTGTAAAATGTATTTTAAGGCAATGTTGGACTAAAGGTCAAATTATTAAATGCGAATGAGTCATTTTGAAAGAATAAAGATGTAAATTGAAATTTCCAATAGGTTTATTAGTAACATTGGTGCTATTTACACCATTAGATACTCTTTAATGGGTGCTCTGTAGGACACCACGAGGTTGAAAAAAATCATTTTCGCAGTTTTTTTCTTCTTTCCCTCTCTCCGTCCCTCCCTTCATTTTTCTGCTTTTTCCTGTGTGGGTATGTGTGATTGCCCCTTCGTTGGGGACTGGGTGTAGTTGAAAAAAATCACAGCCTCCAAACTGACTTTTATATATTTCTAAACTTCTTTATCACTTTTAAATATTCAACATAGGCACCCATATACCCTCCCTCCAGATCAGATGGGCACAATATTAGCGGGAGAAATTGCTTCCGCTCTCAATAAAGAACCTCCCGCCAAATATCTTCTCGCTCTCGATATGATTGAATCAAGAAGATTTTTTTAAGTGTGGTTCAACTGTGTTTAGCTGACTTGGGGCTCAACATTTTTCCATATGAATAAGGCTACCTTTTAGAGAAACATAGATTTACGTATATAAAATGATGATCACCAATGTAAAATCAAAGAGCAGTGGAAACTATGAAGGACCAATTCAAACTATATTTATTAACTAAAAAACCAAAAGGAGATAGATTATCGTCACTTTAGAAATTTAACATATTAATAATAATAATAATAATAATAGTAATGTGATGTGAGCTATGAAGCACCAACACTCCAAAACAAATGTCGTAAGGGTGTTGGGACACAGGGACACTGCTAGGACATGTATGGGACACTTCATGTGACGTGTCCCTTTATTTAAATAGTTTTTTCTAGTGAACATGTCTGGGACATGCTAGGGTCATGCTAGGAACACAACAACTAATTCCCCTCTCCCCCCCAATTTTTTATAGTGCTTTTGATAAATGTTAGATGCCGAATATTTTTTACTTTTTCTTTAGGTTTAAATACTTAATAGATGATCCATAAAAAGATATAAATTATAAATGTTAATTTGAAATTGATATATTTTTCTTTAAATATCGAATTAGTGTTAGTTTTTGTTAATTTTGATTGTTTGTGAATGTAATATTAATCTATATAGAAAATAAAAATATATGAAAAAATATTTTATTGCTGTGTCCCCATCGTGTCCGTGTCCCCATTTTTTATGAAATCACCATGTCTTGTGTCCATATCCTTGCTTGTTATGATGTGAACACAAATTTTGCAAGGATGGCTTATAATAGGACTGCTTAAGAGTTAGCCTTAAGATTATAAATCTTGTTTGTTGTTATTTTGAATTTTTTAAATTGAGTTTCTCTGGGTGTGGTTGTCAAATAGGTACACGGCCCTGGTGCGGATATAGACATACTGTGTGTTGGACCAAGACATGCCACGCGAGATGTATGATGAGAACTTTCTCCTCCATGAGCAGCAATTTGCATTTCTTTTTAGTTTTCCTCTAGTGGAGATTGATAAGTCTAATTTTTCTTCTATAACTCAATGCAGGAAGATTTCTTTGGTGAATTATACAACATGCTGGCAGAGATACCTGAAATACAAGAATTACATCCAGTCCCTGATGCTCATGTTCCAATATTGAAGTTCAAATTCAATGGTGTGTCTATAGATCTTCTTTATGCAAATGTAGCACTTTGGGCTATTCCTGAAG